TATAGATGAGAAAACTCAAGAAAAGTTAAGTGATTTTTTTATAAGAGCATTTTAAAAATTAATGGCTGAACTAAGACTTCTGACTTCTTGTCAGTTGTTCTTCATACCATGTCATAAAGCAGAAACTTTTAAGAAAATTTATTGCATAATATTTTGAATTAGTGAGGAGATAATCTTTAGTTGGAAATAAATTCTAGGATAATTATCCTTAAGCAATAGAATTTGATTAAGGTAAATATTTCTGGGGCTTTTTGTTTTTAAAAATAATCTTCTTCAGGTGTTTTTAGTTATGAAAGTGCTCATGCACATTAAATGCATGGTCATTATATAATAAACTTGGAAAATACAGAAAAATATTGAAGAAAACTTAAGTAGAAAAGGATTTGATAATGATATAGATTTAATTTAGGAGCTTTTTGTTGGTATTTATTGTGGTTTCATCAGTTAAAACATTTTTAATATAGGTACTTGCTAAAGGTAGTAGACAATTTTGGAGAACAGTATTATCTTCTATGTGCTACTTTAAAAAGTTAGTTTTAGTTCTCTTTGATTCTTAGGTTTAGACAAAAAGGTGTTTCTTTTACAAAAAACTATTTCACATTTATGTATCACTTTTAAAAGCAAATGCTATAATACACATTATATAGTATGTGTTGATAATAAAACCCCAAAATGCTTTAAAACAGGGACATGAGAGTAAGAGTCTGGGGAAGAATAATTGTGACAGAGGTTGTGGGTTAGGGGAAGCTAGTGTAATTAGCGTAAGATACTCAGACCCCAGGCTTACTAGTAGTTGAGGAGAAGGAGAAATGTGATAGGTTCTGAAGTTCTCATTATCAAACAAAGCTTACCAGATTAATGGAGGGCTAGCTTTTAAATGTATGGCAAAGTTTTTTTGCCTAGATTTTTAGAATCTATTTAAAGCAGAAAAAAATCTATTAACATTAAATACAAACTTTCAGTATTAAATGTCATAAAACAATTTTTTTAACATAACTTCACATGAAGCTGAATTTTAAAATATGTTCAAAGAAAAATCTTTAAAGTTTACTTTTATCTCATGAAAGCCATGTAATCATTTGAAATGTCTTCTCTGGTATCAAAGAGAAGCTAATACTTTAGTAGAAATAGGAAAGTGTGAACAACATTATTATTGAAAGTACTAATATTTTCACTATTAATAATTAAGAGGTAATCCACACTCACTGATTGAAATGCTCATTGCAAACTTTGTCTCATGTCAAGCTTTTCGTGACTCAGGGAAGGCTTTATTTCCTTTCAGTGTTGTTTGGCATTTTTCAAGCTTTCTTCTTAAAAGAGTATTTTCTGTGAAAATCTTTGCATTTGTATAAACAACTGCAACTCCAACAACTCCAACTTTGTATGGAGACTACAAAGGAAAAATTTTGTAATGAATATTTTGTAAATAAAGGTACATTTAGCTATAATTTCCCATTTTCCCTATGTATGGTGACTATTGGGACTCTCTGTACTTTAAAATACCATCATGATAATAATTATTTATGAGGCATACATAATACATCTTAGTAGGTCATCTAACACGGTGAGGATATTACAGAAAATGTATTGGATAGTCTTTTGTTGCAAATTATAGAAACAGATGAAATAAAAATTGATTAGTTTATATAACTGGGAAGTTTCTGTAACTGATTTTAGATATTGTTAGATCTAAGATCTCAAATGTCAACATATCAGTCTGTCTTTTTCTTTCTCTGTTTTTCTGTGCATCTCTTTCCTCACTTTTCTCATCTCCACCGCTGGCAACCCACTACTGCTTTCTCCTAGGATGGATAAGAAGGGAATAGAGGCATAAGACTATTTTTAGTCCATTTCTTCTTTTATGTAGGGCATAGAGCTTCTCTGGTAGTTCAAGCTAGGAGCCCATAAATAGTCCACATATATATAAAATGATCTGTTCCTTTTTGGTATTATCAAGAGCCTACATCTTACAGAGATAGGAGATGAGCCCCTTTTAATGACACTTTTCTCTAGGACATTGCTCAAGCAATGATAGGGCTTGTTTAGTAGTACATGGAGTAGACCACTGGGAGTGGACCAGGAGCTAGAATTCAGCTATAAAGCAGCAGGCAGGGTTCACTTTTATAAGAGCTGGTGAGTTGCTTTTTTTAGGGCTTCCAGATTTCATTTGGAGGGGCATGTGTATTTTATATGGCTCATACTGTTTGTATACCTTCTACATAGGGTAACCATACTTCCCTCTTGGCTCTGGTTCACCCCTGTTTTCCTGGTAAAATTATTAATAGTATCACTTTCATTCTTTAAAGTTATTAATTTTTACGATAAATTATATGTAACCCCAATAATTCTTTTGATCAGCAAGTGAGGTATGTTACATTTCTCAACTTTTCTTGTATAGGGAAACCAAGAATGCCAACTCATTTTGCCTTGTCTGTGATAATTGAAAAACCTGCAAAGTAATGAATTCCTATAGTTGCATTAGAAATTCAGTAGCCAGGGTAGATCTCTCACAAAGACTTAAAGGAGCTTCCTGGGGTTATAATTAACACCTCTTGACAGCTGGACTAACCAGGTCCTTGGATTAAGGACTGTGTGTTTTGAGCAGCCAGTCAGCTAGAGTGATCCTGATCTGGTGATCCATAAAGCTGTGTGCAAGATTGAAGCACTTCAGGGTACTTGGAAAGTTTTTTATTTCAATAGTTTCCTTAATTTCAGTAAGTAGTGATTTGTGGAATATTGTTTGAGACCACCCCATTGGGCTAGACCATGCCAGGACCGGGTTACCAAAGAGCACAATAAACACACAAGTGTGTGAATCCATGAGTATTTGATGCAGAATGATTTATAAGGTTTTCAGGCTGTGGAGGTGTTGGCTGGGAAAGAGAATGCTAGTCTGAATCTGGGAAGTCAAACAGAAAGGCCAAGAGTTTGGAGTAGGTTAAATGGTTTATCAAGTTGAAGGATAAAGCAAGGTTTGGTGTACCACATGGTTAGGCATAAGGTATAGATGTAGATCAAAAGGGCAGTTCTAAATCCAAGAATGTGGTCCATCCATTGCTGTACCGGTCTTAAATACTCTGCTAGACTAGCGACCTAGTATTAAAGGGTTCAAAGAATGTTAGACAAGTCTGCTTTCCTTTTCTGCCCTTCCCTGTTGAAGTAATTTCTATTGAGTAACTTTAGTAATGGTAGGAAATAAGTATAAAATAAGGGAAATACTTCAACAATGGGGAAATGTTTTTTTCTTGCTGGATTAATGAAGTACATATGTATTCAGAAAAGTGAATTTTAGGTAAAATGGAATATGTAAATATCTTTAGTTTTTTAATAAAATATTTTAAATTGAGCTTTTATCTATAAATTTGAAATATGGTATTAGCATCTTGGTTTGAGTTTAGAAGGAACAAAGCTTGTTTAATAATTAATGAAGTTTTATCAGAATATTATTTGTCAGTTTCTCATCTACCCATCTTTCACAGGCTTGACACAACTCTCATAGACTTTACTGACATGAAGTGCCAACGAGGGGATTTAAGCTTCATTTTCAATGGGGATGCGGCGCCCTCTGAATCTTTTGTAGTATTAGACAATGAACAAAAAGTTTATCAGCGAATACACCATGAGGTGAGCATGTTGTCTTGTCAGTATTCCTCTAAATGGTTCAAAAAAAGATCTCTGTTTTTAGCCAAGCCTCCATGTAATGTCTTTAAAAGAATAAGGTATAATTGAGATGGTTTATTCCTAAAGCTTTCATTTCCTTACCACTAGCTTTATTTTTATTTTTTATATTTCTGTCATCTGGTTTCCATCTTGATCAGTCCATTGAATCTGTTAGATCAGAATTCACTGATTATCTCCTAGATCAATGAACTCCAACTTCTCTTAGTTCTCATTTGTAGTTTTCATTTGTTGAACCTGTGCTTGCCCTTTACCATTTATTGTCTTATTTCCTTGCCTTCTTTCAATGTTGCTGACTCTCTTTATCTCCTTAATCAGCGGTCCCCAACCTTTTTGGCACCAGGGACCAGTTTTATGGAAGATAATTTTTCCATAGATGGGGAGGTGGGTGTGGTTTCGGGATGATTCAAGCTAATTACTTTATTGTGCAGTTAAACCTCTCTGCTAATGATAATTTATTTGCAGCTGCTCCCCAGAACTAGCACCACTGCCTCAGCTCCACCTCTGATTGTCAGGCATTAGATTGTTATAAGGAGTGAGCAACCTAGATCGCTCTCACACACAGTTTACAGTAGGGTTTGTGCTCCTGTGAGAATCTAATGCTACTGTTGGTCTAACAGGAGGCAGAGCTTATGTGGTTATATGAGTGATGGGGAGCGGCTGTAAATACAGATGAAGCTTTGCGCACTTACCAGCTGCTCACCTCCTGCTATATGGCCTGGTTCCTAACAGGCCACGGATAGATGGGTATCGGTCTGCAGCCCAGGGGTTGGGGGCTGTAGTCCTTAATAGTAACACCTCTTTTGGTTATGTCTACACTGTTATCTACTTTTCCTAACTCTTTGGCTACCTTTCATTTCTCTATCCTTTCCCTCTTATAGTGCAACATTATTTTCCTTCTGTAATGTCTTATCTTCATGTTAAAAAACCATATACACTATCATTTCATCCTTTGTTCCCTTTTCCTGCTGTAAACCAAAGAAAGAGTTTTTCTGGTATGTATATGTCATTGATAGCCCTACGGATTTTTAATATATTTAAAAAAATTTTTTTGGAGGTGGGGTCGTGCTGTGTTGCACAGGCTGGTCTTGGACTCCTGGTTTCAAGTGATCCTCCTGCCCCAGCCTCCTGAATAGCTGGAACTACAGGAACATGCCACTGTGGCCAGCTACCAGATATCGTTTAAGTTAATGTCTTTTTGCCACTCTTTGTCTTTATTTTGTCTCTATTTTTTATCATTTCATTTTCCCACATTGTCATTCACCATATCTTACGGCTCCTTCTTTAGTATCTCTTAGATTAGACCTTCCTATTGCCATATCTATTGACCAGATCTTAGTTACCTTATATGTGAACTGTTGAAATAAATAGCTTCCTAACTGGCACTGAGCAATGAAGATTTCGAAAAGGAGAAGAAAAAAAGCAGAAAAAAAGGCTGTTCCTTGTAGAGAAAACCAAATGAGTAAAGTCACGGAAGTAAGAGTAAGAATGGACTGTTTGGGAAAGACAAAGGAGATCTGTCTGACTACAGTGAAAGTTTCTCTTATTGAGCATGAGATAGTATTAATAGTTTATAGAAGGCCTTAAAATTAAGCAAGATAAGATAATTTAGCATCTGCTGCAGTTGGCAACAGAGTCATAGATTTTTAACAAGGTATTAATTTGATCAAAAAGTAATTTAGGTGACTTAATCTTATGTATTTCTTTTACTTTCCATCCTTCCCTCCCTTCCTTCCTCAAACATTTATCAATCTCCTAATAAAGGCTAGAGATTGCTAGGTGCTATGGATAGTGGCATTGTATTAATAGTGTGTATATCAATTACTGTCATATACAGATATTAATTGCCAGCATATTAGGACTATAATCTAAGTGCTTTACAGCTCTCTTCATTAAATCCTTAAAATAATCTGCCAAATTAGATAGTGTCTCCATTTTACAGATGAGAAAATTGAGGCTTATAGATATTAAATGACATCTCCGGGATCCCATAAGGAGTATGTAAGATGAATTTGAAAAAGGAGAGATTGGAGGCAGGGACATTATTTGAGAAGTTTTTATAGTTATCCTGTTCAGAGGTGATGAGGATCTTGGCTAATCCTCATCCAAGGTGAATAATTAAGGTGAATAATATATAGTGAGTAATTAAGAAAGAGAAACTGACATACCTTTCCAAGAATGAAATTATAAGATTTGCTAATAGTTTGAATGCAGTCAATTAAGAAGAGGAAAGAGTTAAGGGTGAATGTAGTGATGCTGGCTTGAAGAGTGGATAATGGTGTTGCCACCAACAGAATTGGAACATTTGGAAAAGGAAACAAGCTTGAGGTTTTACGTGATACTCATTTTGAGTCCATTGCTAAAAGCAGTGTACTTCTTTCAACTTTTTCTTTTTTAAATTTCACTGAAATATTTGCTATCATTTGGTAACTTAGTTCTTGAAATGTTCATTTCCTTTTAATTTGACCTTGGACAGTTCTTTCCTCATTTCTCCTTATTTTCCTTTGCCTGTTCCTTTTTCTCTGCTCACTTCTTAAATATCGGTATGCCTTTGATGTGGTTCTCATTTTTACAAACTGCCAGTATAATCTCTTCCATTCCTGCAGCTTTAATTACCTTTTATAGGTTGATGATTCACAAATATATATTTGTATTCCACACAATTTTGCCTAATGGATATTATGTGTATCTCCAAGGTACCTCGTAATTCACCTAATTTAAAACTAAACTTACTATTTTCTCTCCAAA